GAATAGAATAGAATAGAATAGAATAGAATAGAATAGAATAGAATAGAGAATGGGAATAGGAATAGAATAGGGACTGGGAATAGAGTAGGGTAGAATAGAATAGAATAGAATAGAATAGAATAGAATAGAAAAGAAAATATGGAATTGAATAGAATAGAATAGTTTAGTTTAATTTAGTTTATTGTCATTGTACCTCGTACAACAAAATTAAATACCTTCTTCAGTGTACAACGTATGACTATGAAAATAAACGCAAACACACATCTCTCACTCTCCACATAGAATAGAATAATAACTTTATTGTCACTTTGAATGTATATTCATTGACATACATTAAAATGGAATTTCATTGCATACAGCTCTCGAGGGGTCTCCACCTTCAATACACACGACATGAACACGACAAAATAAAATAAATAAATAAGTACAAGCGAACTTAATAAACGCGACAAAAGAAATCAATATAGGTGAACTATTATAACTTGGGGATCACCCGTATTGCAATGGAAAAGGGATGCTGTGCAGGGCTGAGCTGGCCCAACGAGCCTTGGTACCTTCAAGGCAGCATCTTTCGCAGCATTCTGAACATTGCGTTGTCAATCACCACGGCAGCTTGTGAACGTGGCAGCCTCTGCGGTGCGCCTGCGTGGTGCCCAGGCGGTTCGGCTTGGCTTCGGCCTTTCCACTCCTTCCTTTCAGGGTCCTCCCACTGTGGCTGTCAAAACAATGTGGCACTCTGGAACGCTCTTGTTGAAAAGAAAAGGCCTCACCCCTTTTTCATTCTTCACTTGGCAGATGTGACGGAAGATGGCGACGACGATGATGATGATGACGACAACGAAGGCAATTACCTGCATCCCAGCCTTTTCGCTTCTAAGAAACGGAGCAGGCTAGAGGAGCTGATGAAGGTAATGTAGCTGGTTCCTTTTTTTATTTTTTATTTTTTTAAGGAGACGACTTCCGGTCTGGTTTTAAATGTGCTGTCAAGTTTGTGAGTTTCTTATACAATGACTCCTCCACACCTTCCCCCACCCCCTTTGCTTTGACAGGGCCCTATTCCATGTTACAAATGGTAGTTAATGCCCTTCTAGGTTTGGAGAGGGGTTATTTTCCTCTTGTCTACTAGCAAAACCTTGGTGAGATTTCGCTTCTGTTTTGGTGGTAACTGTTTTCTATGATGGCATTTCAGAAGTGGGCCACTTTTTCTTTTCTTTTCTCTTTTAAAAAATAGTTTTTATTTATACATTTTTCTTTCACCTCTATAAGTATTTAGTAAACAGTCTGGGTCATTTAACACCATACATCATGGTAATAATAATAGTATTCTTTACTTGTATATAATAATAATATTGCCACATCTAATTTCTGCTTTTATTATCTAACCCTTGATAAAACAAATCACAAATTTAAAAAAAAGTTTAACTTTTCTGATCTCAACACAGTTTCTTTCAGGGAGGAGAGACAATCCAACATTTTTCCCACCACTTTTTGATGGGCAAAGGCATGATAAAAATTAACCATTACAAAGGATATGCTCTTCTGTTGATAAGAATTGTAAAACATTGTCCCTCCTAGTAAGCCGACGTTAGAGAGCCAGTTTTATGCAGTGGTTAAGATGCTGGCCTAGAAACTAGGAGACTGTGACTTCTAGTCCTGCCTTAGACAAGAAAACCAGCTGTGTGACTTTGGGCCATCTCTTCACAAGGAGATGGTGAGTTCAAACCCCACCTTAGTCCAGAAAGCCAACTGGGTGTCCTTGGACCCATCACCAGGAGATGGTGAGTTCTAGTCCTAATTTAGGCATGAAAGCTGGCCGAGTGTCTTTGAATTAATCTCACCCTCTCAGCCTTACCTACCTCACAAGGTTATTGTTGCAGGGAAAATAGAAAGGAGTATTAGATACGTTTGCTACCTTGAGTTATTTATTGAGAGATATAAATCAGATTGTTTTCAGATTGTCCCAACTAACCCAAGCAAATCAGAACTCCAAGGTCACTTGCTTCCGCAGAGAACGTCTTTTTTGGGTACATCATATCGGCATACTTAATGTAAAACCAACACTGAATCATTCCCATGGGTTCAGTGTAATTAAAGCAAGCAATAACCCCTTCCCCAAGTGTCACTGGTCACGTTGGCCAATTAAGTTAATTGGAGAACTCCTCAGGCACTCTTCTCCTTCCTCCGTCACCTGGGAGATGACCTTGATTCCCACAAGAAAGGTTTATGTTGTGTCTAGTAAGGCATTCCAACCTCCTTCCCCCTTCCTGCAACTGTGAGGCAACAATGAACCAGGAAAGTGGCCTTTGCCAGGTTCAGTTCAACGTCGACACAGATAAATAATTCATAAATCCTATCTCCAGCAAGTCGTTTAGGGTGTTGCGGTGGCCTAGAGATGGAGCTCTCGCCTCACAAGCAGGAGGCTGTGAGTTCGATCCTAGGTAGAGGCGGATATTTCTCTCTCTGGGCACACTGAGAATGTATCTACTGAACAAAACTCTGCATTGGCGACAGGAAGGGCATCCAGCCAATAAATACTCAGCTCCATTCAGTTGCCCAGACTCACCCTGCAAGGGATTATGGGCTCGATAGATGATGATGGTGGTGATCTCCAGCAAGCCGTTTGAATCGTCCTGGCCAATGTGGGTAAAGAACTTGCGAAGCTTTTCTGAACCACAGAGATGCACAGTTGACATTGGGCAGTCAGTGTGAGGGAGCTCAGCCGCCATGATACCTCTTGTCTTTGCCCCTTGTAGCCGCTGAAGGTGGTGGATCCCGATCACCCGTTGGCAGCCCTTGTTCGCAAAGCCCAAGCCGAAAACGCCAGTGCTGCGTCTCAGGCGGGTGAAGGCACAACCGCTCCGTCGTCCCAAATGGAATATTCTTCCGATCGTAAGTACATCCTGTTGATAAGAGAATTAAGCCTGTGAGAAAGTCGCCACGTATCATGGGCTGGAAGAGACACTAGTGATGGTTACAGGTAGTCCTTGGCTTGTGACCACAATTGAGCCCAACGGTTCTTTTTTTTTTTTAATCAATTTTATTAATTTTCTATGAATTACATCCCTTAGTGTTTAATAAACACCGTGTTGTCTGGGTATTTAATTTGCTTAACAGTACAAATGCCATTCTTACTCTCCACCCCTTTTTTCCAACCCCTGGTAAAATAAGTTCCAAGCTTGATAATATTCTGTGTCTTCTTTCGGTTTGTTTTTCAATGTCAGTCTGTCCGTTTCTGCACAGGCCAGTATCCTCCACCCACCCACCCCAGGCAGCTTGGGTTGAACAATGAAGCTATGGATTCAGAGTTGATAGTCCCACTGCAGGGAAAATGAGCTGTCATTCTCGAGTAGCAATAGTTGCTATCCGATGATGTATTTTTGTCCTTTCCCCATCATCCCGCTGCCCGTTTTATTAGAGGAGATAAGATTGATGGTGCAATATTGATATCCTAAACTCCACAAAGAGCAGAGCGGAAGAAAATCAAATTAATGAAGATGGTTTCATTTCTGAAGGCGCATGCCATGCATTAGTCTACACAAATTGAGCATCAGAGGATATAGTTAGCAATATTTTTCATACTTCTCCTCTCTGTATGTGTGAGATGCGACAGCTTCCTATTAGTCTAGGTTAGCATCAGGGGAACGAGAACTGTTACAGAAAGGACTTAGATTCTTGCTTTCTCAACATAATATTCATGGAACCGCAATCCTTGCGATTTAAAAAACCAGAAATCATCTGGGCTGCACTTCCTTGGAGCTTGCTTGTTCTTGGTGTGGAATATAGCATTTAACCTTTCATTTAAGTAAAACTTTTGTTATTTTATCTGGCGTTGCTTCCCTGTGACAATATCTCAAAGAGATTGAATGGAAAAAAGGAAGCTACAGACCCATCATCAAAACACACACGTCTCGTAACAGTGGAAAAATGTTAATGTAGCTATATTTCTCCCCTGTAGGGGAAAAGAAAAGAAATTCAAAGCTGCTTCATTCATTTCAGAAATACAGCACTATTCTTCCTTTAAAAGGAGGTTACTAATCTATAGTTAGAAGATCAAAAATAGGATGATGCAGAGAGGCAGACTCTTAATAGCATGCCATGAATAGTTAAAAAAAGAAATTATGACTGGTTTCAGCGAGAAATAAAATGAGTGATGTTCATTGCTGTTATATGGAATGCTATATAGACCATTACATACCTGGCCAGTGATGGCCAACTTTCCTTGTGACCTTTTTTTTTTTTTTAACAGCAAAGTTTAAAAAAAAAAAAGACTAGGTATTATGAGCACAGTGTCTTCTATGATTCCCAAAATGACTGTTCGTTTCACATAGGCTAGGGTTTATTTTTATTTTACTGGGTTGTTTTTATTACTGATCTCTGATCATAAAGAATTTGATTGATATATGTGAAGTGGGCAGACTCAGCGGGAGTTTATAGTTGGACGGCAATTTCTCTTCCATTGGTTCTCAGTTCTCAGACTGGTAACCTACAAAGCTCATGAATGTAACTGTTCAAAGGACAGTGGTACCTCAGAACTCATTGTTAAATGGTCCTGGGAGGTGTGATGAGTTCCAAAAACTATGAACATTGAACAGTTTTTCCCTACAAAAAAAAACGAGTCACAACGCAACCAACACAAGTTCTAGCTTGCATGTTGAATACCAAACCAACGAGTACTGGGACAAAAACTTCATATCAGAATGTGTTGAGTATCAAATTCGATGAGTTTCAAAGCAGTTGAGTACCAAGGTACCACTTTGCAACACGAAGCAAAAAAATCAGTCTTAGCTAAACGCAGATGACGGAGAACCAGTTTGTTCCTTTCCTTGCGTTGGCTTCCATTGCATGTTGCATCCATCCCTTAGTTCGTTCTTGTGCTTCTAGCAGCGAAAGCTTTTCTTAATTAACTTATTGTAAATATTTTCCTGGATAAATAGTTGGTTTGAAGGAGTGCCTTGATTTTCATGCTTTTGTAGTCCAATTGTTTTCATTTTTCTGCGTGAAATTAGCTGCATTGGAGATGCCTTCCTCACCCAGAAGGAAAAGGGTAGAGGTTCACGCTTTGCATTCTAGACAAGCAAATAAACTCGTGAATATCCAAAAGATCGTTGATCTGATTAAATGATTTGGGTAATGAAAAAACTCATGGTATACAAAGGTATCTTATAATTGGATTCCTAGCATCTAGAATTATTATCTTTTGAAAGCTCAGAAAGAATTTTAAACATAGCCAGTATATAACGATTCATGTTTTGAGAGTAAAACATTTATTGATAATTTCCTGGAGGCTTATCCTTTTGAAAGCATTTTCTTTTCTCTTGTTTATTAGTATTTCATATTTCTTACTGCAAATAAGTAACACTATGGTAAAAGTGGGGGGGCAGTTACGTAACTTTCTCAAAAGGACATTTGTCACGGTTGTCATTGTTAGTTTCATCTGTTCTGCAACACCGAATGAATTTGTAAAGTGAGTCATTTATTGCACATTAAATATTAAAATGAGTTAAAGGCCAGCTGAGCAAAGGGCATGATGCTAATCACCAAATAGTCATCTTAATAAGAAAACGAGGTCTTGCAAAATGAGAGGGAATTACTTAAGAGTGCTGTAGAAAATTACCATCTTAAAACCCCATAATAAAATAGAAGTGGCATTTACGATCTTTTGTAAAGACATTTTTCCTATCGCAAACTTGTGATTGAGAGGAAGCGCTTTGCCCATAGACTGAGATGTCATCTTTGTCTCGGTGATTATTTTCAAACATTCTGAATTTTGTTTAGTGGGACAACATCCAAGCAGGTATCTCTGGAGCGGCCATGCAATTCTTTCCAATAGGAAACTGCATTGTGTGATTTCAAACGCTTTTTCCTCAAGGGTCAAAGTATCAGAGAGAGGAGCAGCACATAAATTTAATAAATGAATTAGTCCCAAAGGTGCTTTTCTTTCTTTTTAGAAAGTCCATTTCTAAATTGCATTAACAGAGGGATACAATCAAGATCAAGTTAGGTACACCACACTATAAAAAAGATGTTGAGACTCTAGAAAAAGTGCAGGGAAGAACAACCAGGATGATGAGGGGACTGGAGGCTAAAATATACGATGAACGGTTGCAGGAACTGGGCCTGGCTAGTCTAGGGAGGAGAAGGACCAGGGGAGACAGGATAACAGTCTTCCAATATTTGAGGGGCTGCCCCAGAGAGGAGGAAGGGGTCAAGCTATTTTCTAAAGCACCCAAAGTCCAGACAAGAAATAATTGATGGAAACTGACCAAGGACAGATTCAACATGGAAATAAGGAGGAATTTTCTGACACTGAGAACAATCAACCCATGGAACAGAAGTTGCCTTCGGAAGTTGTGGGAGCTTCATCACTGGAAGCTTTCAAGAAGAGGCTGGAGTACCATCTGTCAGAAGTGGTATAGGATCTCCTGCTTGGATGAGGGCCTAGACTAGATGGACCTCCAGGGTCCCTTCCAACTCTGTTAATCTAAACATGTGTCCTTTTGGGACAATCATGACCTGAATGACTGAAAATCTCCATAGACAAATGAAATAAATGTTGATATTGTCTGCCGTAGCAGGCAGCAGCAATCCCTTGTCTAGAAACTGAGTTTTGAGGCAGAGATTGTCCATCTCTGACTTGGTGTGACTTTGCCATGAGCTACGGAAGTTTGATCCACCGAGCATTTCAGACTTGGTCATTCTCAATTTGTTATGCATTTCATAGTCCTTTCAATATCCTTAAAGGGTCTTTAAGAAGAACTTGGACTCATGGAGTTGGAAGGGACCTTGGAGGTCTTCCCTTGTCCAGACTCTTCAAACCATCCCAGACAAATGGGATGGTGTTGACTCTGGTTTCTTATTTTGTCTCTTATCAGACTCATCCAGTGAGTTTGTGTGGCTGACAGTAGACTTCAACCTAGGTGTTCCTACTCTGGGTCCGTCACCTTACTCACCTAGGGCACACTAGATCTTAAGAGAATGGGATTGGGTCCAAGTCACCAAGGGAGGTTCCACGGCTGAAGATCTCTACCCACAATCTATGCAGTTGTCAGTCTAGTAACTTCACCAATCACACCCTACTGGCATTAATGTTAAACTTTAAAAGGCATCTATAAATATCATGGGCTTGTAGGAGTCCTTCTGTGCCTTGCTTCACTGTTAAAAATTCTAAAAGTTCTTGCTATTCCCAGAACACCCAATTTCTCCTTTTTTTTTTCCCTTTGAGCATTTTTTTGCCTTCTCTGCTGGCCTGGATCAGAACTGTTCCCCCCTGTCAATCAAGCACTTGTAGAGAATTCAACACTTGTGGAATGCTGATGAACTGTATTTTTTATTTCATTGTGACCACAGCTCTAGTGTTAAGACACCCAGACCTGTAAAATGCTATTGTAGACCATAGTTGACATTGAGACCACCATAAACAGGATTTCAGAATGCCGTATTTTTCAGCAAGCAGCAGGATCTGTTTTTCGAACAGCAAGGTTGTCATTCTCTTGCCCAGTTGCTCACCAGATATCAATAAAGACTTACATACCACTTCACAGTGCCTTACAGCCCCTTACAGAGTCAGCCTCTTGCCCACAACAGTCTGGGTCCTCATTTTACCTACCTCGGAAGGACAGAAAGCTACTTTGAGCCTGGTGAGATTCAAACTGCCAAACTGCTTTTGAGTGTTTTTTTTTTTTTTTAAGTAGGTTCATAACCTTTTACGTTGGATTTGTGATTCTGCTTGCCAGTTAGAACCCAAGTATGCTGTTGCTCTTTAAATAGCTATCAGCCCAATTGTGTTCCGTCTTGTATTTGTCGTACACTTAAAAAAAAAATGTGCTGCCTACACAACAATTTTTGGTGTTGTTTTAAAATTGTTTCTGAAAACGTGTGAAAGCTGTACA